ACCCTGGTGTGTTTACACCAGTGTGTACAGTACATCGTAACCCTGGTGTGTTTACACCAGTGTGTACAGTACATTGTAACCCTGGTGTGTTTACACCAGTGTGTACAGTACATCGTAACCCTGGTGTGTTTACACCAGTGTGTACAGTACATTGTAACCCTGGTGTGTTTACACCAGTGTGTACAGTCATCGTAACCCTGGTGTGTTTACACCAGTGTGGACAGTACATCGTAACCCTGGTGTGTTTACACCAATGTGTACAGTACATCGTAACCCTGGTGTGTTTACTCCAATGTGTACAGTACATCGTAACCCTGGTGTGTTTACACCAGTGTGTACAATACATCGTAACCCTGGTGTGTTTACACCAGTGTGTACAGTACATTGTAACCCTGGTGTGTTTACACCAGTGTGTACAGTACATTGTAACCCTGGAGTGTTTACACCAGTGTGTACAGTACATCGTAACCCTGGTGTGTTTACACCAGTGTGTACAGTACATCGTAATCCTGGTGTGTTTACACCAGTGTGTGCAGTACATTGTAACCCTGGTGTGTTTACACCAGTGTGGACAGTACATCGTAATCCTGGTGTGTTTACACCAGTGTGTACAGTACATCGTAACCCTGGTGTGTTTACACCAGTGTGTGTATAGTACATCGTAACCCTGGTGTGTTTACACCAGTGTGTACAGTACATCGTAACCCTGGTGTGTTTACACCAGTGTGTGTATAGTACATCGTAACCCTGGTGTGTTTACACCAGTGTGTGTATAGTACATCGTAACCCTGGTGTGTTTACACCAGTGTGTACAGTACATCGTAACCCTGGTGTGTTTACACCAGTGTGTGTATAGTACATCGTAATCCTGGTGTGTTTACACCAGTGTGTGTATAGTACATCGTAACCCTGGTGTGTTTACACCAGTGTGTGTATAGTACATCGTAACCCTGGTGTGTTTACACCAGTGTGTACAGTACATCGTAACCCTGGTGTGTTTACACCAGTGTGTGTATAGTACATCGTAACCCTGGTGTGTTTACACCAGTGTGTGTATAGTACATCGTAACCCTGGTGTGTTTACACCAGTGTGTACAGTACATCGTAACCCTGGTGTATTTACACCAGTGTGTGTGTACAATTATCGTAATCTGGTGTTTACACCAGTATTGTACAGTACATCGTAACCCTGGTGTGTTTACACCAGTGTGTGTATAGTACATGTCCGTAACCTGGTGTGTTTACACCAGTGTGTACAGTACATCGTAACCCTGGTGTGTTGTTTTACACCAGTGTGTACAGTACATCAGCCAGCCACAGGGTATTAGCACATCAGTGTGTACAGTACATCGTAACCCTGGGTGTGTTTACACCAGTGTGTACAGTACATCAGCCAACCCTGGTGTGTTTACACCTGTGTGTACAGTACATCGTAACCCTGGTGTGTTACACCAGTGTGTGTATAATTACATCGTAACCCTGGTGTATTTTACACCAGTGTACAGTACATCGCTAACCCTGGGTGTGCTTACATCAGTGTGTGATACATCGTAATCTGGTGTGTTTACACCAATGCGTACAGAACATCGTAACCCTGGTGTGCTTACACCAGTGTGTACAGTACATCGTAACCCTGGTGTGTTTACACCAGTGTGTACAGTACATCATAACTCTGGTGTGTTTACACCAGTGTGGACAGTACATCGTAACCCTGGTGTGTATACACCAGTGTGTACAGTACATTGTAACCCTGGTGTGTTTACACCAGTGTGTACAGTACATCGTAACCCTGGTGTGTTTACACCAGTATAGACAGTACATCGTAACCCTGGTGTGTTTACACCAATGTGTACAGTACATCGTAAACCTGGTGTGTTTACACCAGTGTGGACAGTACATCGTAACCCTGGTGTGTTTACACCAGTGTGTACAATCCCATCACAGCCAACCCTGGTGTGCTTACATCAGTGTGTACCCAGTTACATCCATAACCCTGGGTAGTAACACACCAGGTGTACAGTACATCGTAACCCTGGTGTGTTTACACCTGTGTGTACAGTACATCGTAACCCTGGTGTGTTTACACCAGTGTGTGTATAGTACATCGTAACCCTGGTGTGTTTACACCAGTGTGTACAGTACATCGTAATCCTGGTGTGTTTACACCAGTGTGTACAGTACATCGTAACCCTGGTGTGCTTACATCAGTGTGTACAGTACATCGTAACCCTGGTGTGTTTACACCAGTGTGTACAGTACATCGTAACCCTGGTGTGCTTACATCAGTGTATACAGTACATCGTAACCCTGGTGTGTTTACACCAGTGTGTACAGTACATCGTAACCCTGGTGTGTTTACACCAGTGTGTACAGTACATCGTAACCCTGGTGTGTTTACACCAGTGTGTACAGTACATCGTAACCCTGGTGTGTTTACACCAGTGTGTACAGTACATCGTAACCCTGGTGTGTTTACACCAGTGTGTACAGTACATCGTAACTCTGGTGTGTTTACACCAGTGTGTACAGTACATCGTAACCCTGGTGTGTTTACACCAGTGTGTACAGTACATCGTAACCCTGGTGTGTTTACACCAGTGTGTACAGTACATTGTAACTCTGGTGTGTTTACACCAGTGTGTACAGTACATCGTAACCTTGGTGTGTTTACACCAGTGTGTACAGTACATCGTAACCCTGGTGTGTTTACACCAGTGTGTACAGTACATCGTAACCCTGGTGTGTTTACACCAGTGTGTACAGTACATCGTAACCCTGGTGTGTTTACACCAGTGTGTACAGTACATCGTAACCCTGGTGTGTTTACACCAGTGTGTACAGTACATCGTAACCTTGGTGTGTTTACACCAGTGTGTACAGTACATCGTAACCCTGGTGTGTTTACACCAGTGTGTACAGTACATTGTAAACCTGATGTGTTTACAACAGTGTGGACAGTACATCGTAACCCTGGTGTGTTTACACCAGTGTGTACAGTACATCGTAACCCTGGTGTGTTTACACCAGTGTGTACAGTACATCGTAACCCTGGTGTGTTTACACCAGTTTGTACAGTACATCGTAACCCTGGTGTGTTTACACCAGTGTGGAGGTTGGAACTACTATTTTTTTAATAATGCTTCGAATAATTTTGCTTTTATTATTTTGTATACGATGTCTTCCGTGAATATCATTGTTGTGGCAACTCTTGTGTTCTGGTGATATAACTGTAATTGTGACGGCTTATGAAGAGGACCAGCTTCACACACACTGCTACCAGACTCTTTCCCTAACATTGTCCCTCCGCTCACTTACGCTTCCAATAGGTTCTTTTCTTCGGCAAACGAGAAAAAATAGATCTGTTCGTTAATGCTTTCATGATTTATCACCGTAGGAGCGACACGAGAGAGGAAACGTTACTGATTTCTTTGTTGTTTATGTTTTTGTGATTACGTCAACTCCCAAGTTGAGGCGCCGCGACGGACTTTTTTCACAGACGTCTGGGAGATGTTTACCGGATGTCTGTATATTAAATCTGTGTTGTGCTCTCTCTCTCTCTCTCTCTCTCATGCTTCACAGCGGGAGGAGACATTCATAGACAAATCCTTCTTACACCAGAACCCATTCGAGTGTGATTTTTTTTGTTCCCTTTGTGCAGAATAAACAGGATTCTATTTAAACCCCGAAGGCGTAAAATTGACATTTACCACCAAATGGAAGTGTAAAAGATTTTTCTACCCCACCCCTCCTAGTTTTGTTTACACATGTTGGTACAAAATAGGAAATCGTTGGAGGCTGTCTTGCTTGATGTCTTAAAATCGTCATAAATACTGGTATACGTGGCTCGAGCCTTTGACTTCTGTGACCTTGACCCCGTGACCTTGACCTCGTGGTTTCGACCTTGTGACCTTTTGAGAGGGTTATGTCAAGGGGTTCCAAGTTGCTGTTTTTTAGAACCACCTGTGTGTGTGTGTGTGTGTGTGTGTGTGTGTGTGTGTGTGTGTGTGTGTGTGTGTGAGAAGAAATCGCCTTTAGTTGATCTATGGCCTATTTTTAATCCCGTATGTAACTTACACAATAATTTAGGGAGCGTTGGAGATAATTTATTTTTATGACGTTCAGAATTTGTGCGACACTGATTTTATGTTAGGCTATGTTAAATCGGGTTAGGTTAGGTTAGTTAAGCTAAGTTAGCTGGGATTAGAACTGTGGCCCCTTTAACCAACAGACACACCCAGACAGTGCATACCCCAAGTTCTTTGTAACAGTATCATCTCTCCCAGTTAAAAACACCGTCCAAGAAATAAAATGATTCCATAACATATAATATTTCTACAATTTGGGGCCCATTTTAAACCCATTTTTTGAGAGATTTATGCTAAAAAGTTTTCATCCCGAGTGTAAAATATTTGTATTATTTTACGAGGGAGGCAACGATGGGGGATCTGTTTGTGTGTGTGTGTACCATTTGCCTTCTTATTTATGATGTGTATAAATATGATCTAACCAGATTTTGTGTTTCTCTCTCTCTCTCTCTCTCTCTCTCTCTCTCTCTCTCTCTCTCTCATTGTACGAGTAATAAACTGGAAGGAAAACACAAACTGCAAACAAGGACAGACTGTAAACAAATCCCAAACTGTAAACAAGAGACAGGCTAAAATAAGAAAGACTGTAAACAAGAGATCGACTGGAAGCAAAAGACAGACTGCAAAAAAGAGGCTGATTAAACAAAAGACATTGTAAAAGAGAGACGGACTGAGAGCAAGACATACTGTAAACAAAAGACACTGTAGACAAAAGAGAGACTAAACAGATGACAATGAGAACAAGAGAGAAACTGTAAATAAGACTGACAATAAACAAGAAACAGACTGCAAACAAGAGATAAACTGTAAACAAATCAATAAACAGAGGCCGGATTGTAAACAAGACAGACTGTAAACACAACACCAAGACACCAGAGTAACTCCTGCCACTTCCCTTCCAACCCCGGCTCTCAGCCCCGTCCTTCATCCCTGACCCTCAACCTGGCCCTCGGCCCCGATCTTCTGCCCCGACCCTTATTCCCGAGCCTCAACCTGGCCCTCGGCCCCGATCCTCTGCCCCGACCCTTATTCCCGAGCCTCATCCCTGGCCCTCAGCCCCGGCCCTTAGCCCCAGCCCTCAGCCCCGGCCCTTAGCCCAGGCCTTCACCCCTGGCTCTCAGCCCCGGCCCTCATTCGTGGCCCATAGCCTGGCCCTTAGCCCGGCCCTCATCCCGGCCCTTAGCCTGGCTTTCATCCCTGGCCCTCAGTCCATCGGGGAACACCCGGATATTCACCCTGGGGAACAATAAGTGAAGTTTATCTGCGGGAAATCGTACTCTGGCTCCCTGAACTTGTGTGGCCGCGGGAGAGTTGTATAACAAGGTTTACAAAGTGTCTGTAGACAAGTTGCCGAGGAAATTTCCCTACAGAATAAAACTCAACGGTGATGCATCGGGAAGTTTGTTTTTTATGGTAGGGAGGAACTGTATCACTCAACTTTGTGTAGAAGACAGTAGGGAGGAGGAGGACTATGGTGTGGGTTTTGGATCTTAACTGGGTAACGTGGAGGAGGAGGACTATGGCGTGGGTGGTGGATCTTAACTGGGTAACGTGGAGGAGGAGGACTATGGCGTGGGTGATGGATCTTAACTGGGTAACGTGGAGAAGGAGGAGGAGGACTATGGCGTGGGTGATGGATCATAACTGGGTGACGTGGTGGAGGAGGACTATGGCGTGGGCCTGGTGGCGGTGGATCTTGGCTTGGTGACGAGGATGAGGAGGATGTTCTTTGGGTCTTGGTTGTGTTATTGGATGCTCCGCCAGGGTGTTATGACACTGCCTCCTGGGTTATGATGTTTATAATCATTTTATTAACAGTATTTTCTGACAGCATAACTAACTGACTAATATATTAATATAGCACCAGCTCTCGCATATCACTATATTCGTTATTGCTGCAGCCGTCCTTCCACTTGGGTTGACACAACAGACACCACCCGGCATACAAGAGATGACTTGAGGAGACAATTAATAAAAGATAGCGAGAGTTTAATCACTTTGTTGTTCAACTGGGCCAGACTGCTCATTACCTCCTGCAATTGCCAACTAACTTTATGACAATTAGTGAAGTTACATGGAGTTATTGAGAACTTTTTCCTTACCGGAATGTACGTAACTTTGTATTATCTGTTCATAGATTGTCTCCATCAGTGAGACTTTGAGGGGGGACTGCTTGTGTTTGTCGACTCCTGAACAAGAAAGTCGTTGAGAGTTACATTAAGTTTAATGTGTGTTGTCAAGGAGTTAATTATCATTTTAGGGACCCGTCTCTCTTGTCCTGGGTCAGGCACCACCTCTCAGTCTAGCACCGTTTACTTGTACTTGCATCTACACCTGTACCTAATACCTACATCTGTACCTTATACCTACACCTGTACCTTATACTTACACCTGCACCGTATACCTCCATCTGCACTTTATACCTACACCTGTACATTTTACCTACACATGTACCTTATACTTGCACCTGTACCTTGTACCTGCACCTGTACCTTATACCTAAGCTTGTACCTTACACCTACAACCGTACTTTATACCTACACCTCCACCTTATACCTACACCTCCACCTTATACCTACACCTGCACCTTATACCTACACCTGCACCTTATACCTACACCTGCACCTTATACCTACACCTGCACCTTAGTCTACATCTGCACTTTATACCTACAGCTGTGTTTAATACCTACTGTTAAATACGTACAGTCACTTAAAAAAATCCGTGTCTTCAGCAATCAGAATGAACCTCTGAAACGAACTCAGTGAGTCCTTAAGTTTAGTTTTGATTTTCAACCCACGAGTTAAACAACACGGGGCTTAGTATACTCTTAGTTGTCGGGAGTGTCCCAACAGGGACGCCTGGCGACTTTATACACGAGTTACTAATGTGAAAGCAAGAGTAATACTGTAAAGAACAATATTTGGTTACTATACTCCCTTATCGTAAATGTATATAAAACGCAAATTACCACATTATGTAGTGTCATTGTTTGGAATGACATGTTGACTGTAGCTTTTTTTTTTACAAGTCAGACTTTTGACGATTAACTGATCATAGGAAACAGAGAGAGAGAACTTGCTTATTTGTTATCATAGAGCAGACATTGTGAGTTATTTTATGGTGTTCACGTTACAGACAGACAATCAGACAGATGGTAGATAGATAGATAGATAGATAATGTCGCCGATAACGACAGCCAATTTCATCAGTAAATTCCGTGACATGTTTAAAAAAAAAAGACAAACTGTAGAATTGAATTAAATGACCACTAGTGACCATTTTGCTGCAGATAAACTGAATTACACCAACAAATGACCCACGAAATACGTAGATAAAGAAATAATAATAAGTACGAGATGAAAATACGTAAAGGGGATTTTGTTTTAACGGATATTTTTTTCTGTCGTTTAAGTTGTATATATATAAAAGGAAAATAGTTTGATGGTATATAAAAGCATTTAAACACTTGCTAAATTATATACCTGGTGTTTTAAGGTCATAATCCCTATTTAGATTAGAGACCCAGCATGCTGATGGTTTTGAACTTAAACTAAATTAGAAACCCGGTGTTTGATGAGCTTAAACACGACTTACAGTACATTCAGAACCTTACTGACTTGACACATTTGATGTAGAGACCCCGTGAACCCCTGTTTATCATGGAGGAAGACCAGTGTGTGCTGAATATGTGTAGTGAAGGTTTTTCTCTTTCTTATGGTCACACACCAGAGAGCTTGTTGTTATAGAGGGAAGGAGGTGAGGAGAGAGTAAATTTTTTTCTGTGTGTGTGTATGAGTGTGTTCCCAGAGTCATTGAAATTAAAAAAAAAGTCAGTCATGGCGATAAAAGTAGTAATGGAAAATATGAAAACTTACCAATCACGGAAAAGTCCTGGAAAACCATTTTTTTTTATTATTGAACGGCAACTTTTCAACACTTATCATGACTTTGTTTTGTGCATACTTTACCCATTACACATTTCCCTTCAGGGTTCAACGCGTTCATAAATGCATGAGGGCAAGAACCTTTTCTGATAAAGTGGTTCAGCGTAATGAAATAAATTAATTTTTTTGACCAAACTCCTCGGAAGAAATAACCAACTACAGTATCGTTTGATACTGTCACGTCAGCTTACAACTACCCATTGGCAGAAGTAAAGTTAGAATTCTTTATTGTTGTTGCCAATCAGTAGAAGGTTTTTCTTGTTACGTTTCAGACAGATTCATCAATGGTTCCATTTTTAGCACCTTGTTTGAAAGAACTCCTATTAAGCCTGATGCTTCGCTTCATAAAAAACTATGATGTTCTATAGAACGTAGATAAACATCTAAGAACCTAATCAGATTGAATCCAGAAGATAAACAGATTCAGATTAAGAATGTGGATTTAGGATTATTAGCGTAGAAGTCATTGGCAACAATGATTGGCAAGAAGGCTGTTAATGAGTTGCAGGGTTTATGGTTCAATTCAGATTGCATTATCTAGCTTTTTAGTTGTATTGACAGCCAAACTTATGGAGAAGTACCGACTCAATAACCTGTTAGTTGGATACCTTGGATAACTGGACTCCCTAAACCCTAAGATGACGATGGAGTCCTCTGAAGATGCTACAACTAAGTTTAGAAATTTTGTACACGTATACTTGGGGATGGTAGTTGGCAGTGTGATATGTTGCTCACTTTACACAAAACATATGTAATAGAAATGAAACAGCAACATGCAACATAATTCCTGGTATTCACAGATGACAGCAGTGAAAGGCTGGTTACTTTCTTCTATAGATCCATGCAAGATTCAAAATACAACCCACTATCTTCAAGATGTTACTTACATTATCACGCGAACAGGCATCCATTGAGAGATGTTACTATGTTTATAAAGATGAACTGGTAAAGAATACAGAACACAACGTATGATTTTACCCTGTTGGTTAAGTCTGTAAAGGCCTGGGACTTAGGGATTGAAATCCCTTGCCGGTCTAATCAGAATCTTATAAGAGGAAAGTCAAGAACCATGGTTTTCCGAGGGATAACAAACGACTGTTAGAGATTGACATCTCTTTCCTATGAAAATAACACAAAACTGACACCACTAACACAAATGACAAACAAACAATTAATGGAGTCAAACAATTAAGGAAATCAAACAATTAATGGAGTCGACAATTAATGGAGTCAACAATAAAGGGAGTCAAACAATTAAAGGGAGTCAAACAATTAACGGGAGTCAAACAATTAAGGGAATCAAACAATTACGGGAGTCAAACAATTAATGGAGTCAAACAATTAAGAGAATCAAACATTATAAAGAATATTCCCCCCGGCGGTTGCCCAGTGGAAAGTTCCGTAAACCAGTGATCTGCTCTCAGGGGGAACGTCAAGGCAGCTTTCTCACTTGGCGCCGGCGGGCGATGTCTTGCTACACAGGAGAGACTCCAGGGCACGGACGGTGGATAGGGCGTGGAGGAAGTGGCGATGACGTGGCAACAGCGGTAGTAGCTGGGGTAGGTGTCCGGAGATTGACAGTCGAATAGTGAAGATCTGGGGAATCAGCCCACGTGTCCAGGACCTCAAATGAGCACACAACCAGAATTTGAATGAACAGCGGGGTGCAAATACAGCTGTGGTGATGGCTGGGTAGTGTATCATGTGCCATGAGGCAGCAGCAACGTTCTCACTTCCGTCTACCTCCTCTATTGGGGGTAGCGAACAAGCAAACGAGCGGCAGACAACCATCCTGCTCATTACAGCCCTCACAAAGTCTTATTACTGGACCTTCAGAAAAAAAACGCCTTCAGAAGTTAAGTGAAGTAAAGTAAAGTACTGTCGTGAAGCTGGAGATAACACTGGCTAGGTTGAGGAAAGAAACAAAAGATCTTACATGACACACTGATTTGTTTTCATTGAATAGCCTTTTGTAATCTATATACCTCACTTAATTTTTTACTTGGTGGATCTTTATGCTGTAATTTTCAAATTGTTTTACCACAAGCTCGTGAAGCTAGAACATTGCTGAGGAAAAATATGTTGACTATGTATATCATTGACTGCCAATACTATGTTGTTTATGTTGTGATGTTAGGCAATAGTTATTGCTCTTGTGATGTTAGGCAACAGTTGGACGGAACTATTGATTTATTGTTTAATGCTGTGCATACTGATGTTCTCAACAACTCTTATTATATATTACCGTAGTTAAACGAACCATTTTTGAAATGGGTGGTTTCGATTGCGGTGAAGGGATGGAG